AAAAAAAAAAAAAAAAAAAGACTTGCCAAGCTTCCGTTGGATTCAGCTGCGTTCCGAAAGAAAAGCAGTTGCCACCGCCTCCCAAAACCAGCCTGGCAATGACTGTCAAAGGCAAACACATAGCAGCTTCGCGGAAGCAGTCACACTCAGTCACATGCATTTACCTTATCAACGCATTACTCCAGAGATTGCGCATCTACGTTCAGTCTCTCGGAATATTGTAACTGACAATGCAGGCTACATATCAGTCAGCCTGGCACGAGTACCATATTATTGCCGAACATTCCTGCGGATTTACTGCAATGCAGTCTTGAAGCTCTGCAAAACCCAGTAAGCGGCACTAAGAACTCGTCGCAGTCCAAGCAGCACTTGCCCAACATTCTCGAACATCACCTTGATTGTCCAGTGCTTGGAGATGCTGCCAAGTCCGTCAGCACAGCCAACGCTGTGGTTCTTGTCCCAATCAATCCCAATCAGCACACTGAGTCCCGCACCGTAGCAATGTTATGCCACATGAAGAAATCATCCTTTACACAGAGTGACTCAATTGAACAGACGCGCCTGTGAAGGCTCTGGCTGAGCGTCACTTCAGTCGACCTGGTTAGCCTTGATCAGCATGGCTGCATCGTCAGTCCTCTGCATCATCTTCGTAGTTGCGCACATTCAGAGGCACCCCGTTGCAACAGAGGGGGGCTGTCTCGTACGTCCACTCCTGGCAGGATTACGAACAACCTGCTGCGCGCATGCATTAGGGCGCAGAGGTGCCACCCAGATGCAACTCCGCCAATGATGATGTAGTAGCCTTTGAAAACGTGCAGGTGATGACCATACCTTGCCCGCAAGAGTTTGGAAGGCATTCTCTCTTGCTTCCAAAAGCTCAAAAGAATACTACACTCGCAGGTGTATCAGATTCTTCTATATTTGAGACCTTCTGGGGCTACCGTCTCCGAATAATCCATTTCGAAGACGTCTCAATGGTTGATGCATGTAGATGCACGCTGATAATCATGCAATGCCCGACGGCTGAATCCCTGACCTTGGCCGCGGTAATGGGGAGATGGCTTTTCGCCAAAGCAGAGCATCTCCAGCTCCTTTGCTTTCGTCTCGCTGCAAAATCCACGCATCACCCAAAAGCTTCTCATCCTCATCTAGACCGCCACAGATCATCAGCAAGTCAGAATCCGACCCCAGTGAAGCGGCCGAGTGCGAGTGCCGCGGACAAGGATATGAGCCGTCACTTGCAGGACAAATGCGACAACAGCGCCACGTTAGCTGGCGTGCGTCCAGGAGCCAAGCTACGTCGAAGCTGAATATGGCCTCATCTGCCCCGCGGCCGCCAAGGATCAGAACCTGATCTTTCCCTTCGATCGACACAAGCGTCGCTGAGTGCCGCCATCTAGCAGGAGGCCACAAGCTCATCCCCTCCATCACTTCCAGTTGGGGCTGTTGGGACACTCCATCTCCAATCCAACTGCAAATGGCCAGAGCATTTGTAGGCTGATGAGGGCCAAGGCGGCCGCCGAAAAGAATGACCTTCGAGCCAACCGTGGTCGAGCTGCAGTACATGGCCGCCTTGTGCTCGCCAATCTGCTGAAAAGCCTGCTCCGTGTGCCACCGCTTGGGATCCAGCGATCGATAAAGTACGCTTGTTTGCCTCCCATGTGCTTCACTTGCAAAAGCATCGTAGGTTCCATGCCCACCACAAACTACCAAATGACCTCCTGCATACGATGCCGTCAAGCCGAATCTGGAAATGCTTCGGTCACGGAGCCGATGCACAGATACTGTGTGCTGCACAGCAGGTGAGGTCTCAACTTTGGACCAAATCTTCTTTGCACGAGTACACTGTCCCGTCATAGCGGCTAGGCAGAAGTAGTGGGTGCATTTCAAGTGAAACTCTTCGTATTCATCAAACGGCTCTAGACCTGCAACTCTTTTCAGTTCATCCACAGGCGTAGCTGAAAGTGTGGCCGTCATGTCAGCTGCATCGACTCGATGGAACGACGCGAACCGGGCTCGTTGAGCTTCAAGGTCTGGTCGCGTCAGCAGTGATCGAAGGGGGCACTGGCGCTGCACAAAGTGCCGTCGCATAAAGCGGCCGAAAGGATCATGTGGTCCAATTTGCTCGTACATCCCAAACAAGCAGTTTGAAAATCTACCTGCAGCCCACTTTGCAAGCGCATCACCCTCAGCGGGCTCCATATAGGCCAGCACCACTTCGGCAACTATCAGCGTCGGCAGGTCAAAATCTGCTCCTTTGATGAACCAAGCACAGACTTTGTATATTCATACAACATGTCCCTGTGTAACCTGCGCCAGTATTTACCTGGGAAGGAACCTAATAGTGTCAATGGTTTCGAAAAAATGCTCGGAACTCGCTCCCAAGCAAGGTGCCTGCTGAGCGCAGGGAGCTCTCAACTTCACGCAGATCGCGCCTTAACTTCGCGCACTTGCAAGACCAGTTGCTGTGCGATGCTCAACAAACACAAGGGCCTCCTGCTTTATCGAGGTTGTCGAACATTGATTGCTACATCTTTGGCTGCTCGCGAAGAAAGTCCAAAAAATCATGGTCCCAGGCTGTCCAAGTTGCAAGTCAGCACCACAACTGTGAAGCCAAGCTGGCATGTTTATGCTGGCACGACGCAACAGTGCGTTCTTGCGTGCAAGCACCTCGTTGGTTGAGGAAGCATTGCTTGCTCTTATGCACTCTAGCCTTGATTGCCTGCTTCGGGCTTATTGAAGGTACTAGTATGGACCAAAAAATGATTCGCTGTTCGCTTGGGATGACATCCTATACACTGAAGCCCAGTGCAAGCAAGGCCTACTGATGCCATCGCTCTGCTGCAGAGGCACAGCAGGAAATTCTACCTCGTAGTAGCCCTGCAGCCCGGGAGGCCAATGACGTCGCAGCGCACCGGTGTCAAATCCGGCACCAACAACAACAACATTGTATAGGTCGCCCTTCCTTAGCTTCTGACCATGGCCAAAACCCCCATGCTCCCCTACTACGTCAAGCGGCTCAATGCAGCTGGTCAGGAATGCCTCCTGCGGCTCACACAAGTCATTTTTCGTTCCCTTTTCGGAATGATGTTATGCTTTCTGGCCCGGGGGGGGAGGGGGCCCCCCATTTTGTGAGGGAACTCCACACGAGACCTCCTTTTGAACCGAAATTGAGTACGCTCCATCGAGAACTCCACGTCGAATCGAAATATGAGGATGCTCCATGCCAGACCTGAAATTTGAGCCGAATTTAAGGATGCTCCACTCCGCAGCTCAATTTGGTGTCATCACGCGACAGCTCAGTTTCTGAGGATACTCTCCGCAAAAGCTCAATGAATGATAGTAGGCATGGGAATACAAGTAGTAATGATGAGAGTCATAATACTTAATGTCATCATTGTAATAGTAATAGTGGTCATTATGCTCATCAGTACAGGTAAAATAGTACAAGGTGTCACAATGACGGTAAAATGAAACTAGCAATAATGACATGCACAGTTTGAACGGTGAGAAAGCTGTCAAAAATACAAGGATCCAGTTCACATACTGAAAAAGAATGGGAAGGGTAATGGTAATGATGATAACATCCACCTATCTTGGGGGGCGTGTTGGATGGTT